TGTTGGGTTGAGTGTTCTGTGTGTGTCTGTCAGATCTAGTTTGCTTATTGTGTTGTTAAGTCTTTTATTTCCTTACTTATCTTCTGTTTGTTCTATCTATTATTGTAAGTGGGGTATTAAAGTCTCCAATTATTATTGAACTATTTCTGCTTCAATTCTGTCTGGTTTTGATTCATATATTTTGATGGTCTGACATTAGGTACATAAATGTTTATAATTATCATACGTCTTGCTTATTGAACCTTTTATTAATATATAATGTCCTTCTTTATCTTTTGAAAACTTTTTTGATTTAAAGTTTATTCTGTCTGATACCAGTATAGTCACTCCTACTCTTTTGGTTACTCTTTACATGGAATATCTTTTTCCATCTTTTCACTTTCTTTTTCTTTTCCTTCTTTTCCCCAAAGCCCCCCAGTGCATAGTTGTATATTCTAGCTGTAGGTCCTTCTGGTTCTACTACTTGGGATGGCACCTCAGCATGGCTTGATGAGCACTGCTCAGTCTGCGCCCAGGATCCGAACCAGTGAAGCTCTGAGCTGCCAAAGAGAAGCGTGTGAACTTAACCACCCAGACATGGGGCTGGCCCCCACCTTTTCACTTTCAACCTGTTTGTGTCTTTGTATGTCAGGAGCATCTCTTGTATACAGTATATAGCTGGATCATGTGTTTTTATCCATTCTGCCAGTCTCTGTCTTTTGATTAGAGAGTTTAATCCATTTACATAAGTAATTACTGATAAGGAGGGACTTCTGTCATTGTGCTATTTATTTTCTATATGCCTTATAGCTTTGTTGTCTTTCCTTTCCTGCAATACTGTCTTCTTTTGTGTTTAATTGTCTTTTGTAGTGAAATGTTTCAATTTCTTTCTCATCTCATCTTGTATATACTCTGTAGCTATTTTCTTTGTGGTTACCATGGGTATTACATTTAATATCCTAAGTTATAACACTCTAACTTGAATTTATGTCAGCTTAACCTCAACAACATGCAAAAACTCTGCTCCTTTACAACTCCAGCCCCACCCCCTTTCAGTTGTTGATGCCGCAGAATGACATCTTTATATACTGAGTGCCCCAAAACATAAACTAATAATTCTTTTAAATGCATTAGTCTCTTAAATTATGTAGAAAACAAGATTTGGAGTTACAAACCAAAGTTACAGTAATACTAGCTTTTACAATAATAATTGTTTTTTTTTCTTTAAATGCATTAGTCTCTTAAATCATGTAGAAAACAAAAAGCTATAATTTTTAAATCTTTGTGTTTTTGCATCAATCAATATTTTCCTTTATAGCTTCAGATTTTGACTCATCCTTAAAAAGTCCTTTCTCTAACACCTACACAAAAATCAATTCCAGACCTAAATATAAAAGGTAAACTATGGGGCCAGCCCCGTGGCTGAGTGGTTAAGTTCACGCACTCTGCTTTGGCGGCCCAGGGTTCGGACCCTGGACACGGACCTAGCACTACTCATCAAGCCATGCTGACTAGGCGTCACACAAAGCACAACCAGAGGCACTCACAACTAAAATATACAACTATGTACCACCAGGGGGCTACGGGGAGAAGAAGAAGAAGAAGAAGAAGAAGAAGAAGAAGAACCAACGAAGATTGACAACAGATATTAGCACGGGTACCAATCTTTTAAAATTAGTACTTCTGTTCATTAAAAGAAACCCATTAAAAAAATGAAAAGGCAGGGCACAGAGTGAGAGAAGATATTTGCTTCTACATATATTGCAACAATGGGTTTGATTCCAAAATATCTACCTCTGTCTATACATAAATATTCTTACAAATTAATAAGGAAAAGGATAGTAACCCAACCCAAAAATAAGTAAACCACTTGAACAGTCACTTCACACAACAAGCTTATGAAAAGATGCTTAACACAAACAGTTTCCAGGGAAATAAATGCAAATTAAAACCACATTTTGCTAAAGGTCACATAGCTAAGGGATTTGAACCTAGGCAGTCCGTTAACCTCTCTGGCTCTATTTACTTATATTTAAATTGGGGATATTAATGTCTATCCTGAGGAACTTTTAGTCTGAGGAGGAATAAGCGAAACAACAGAAAACATAACTATGTACTGAAACATAGCAAATTATGTACTGAAAATCCAGAGCAAGACACACAGTGACCATATTTTTTTTGGCTTCGCTTTTTTATATTGAGCTCATAATAGTTTATATCATTGTGAGATTTCAGTTGTACGTTATTTCTTGTCTGTCACCACATAACTGCTCCTCTTTACCCTCTGTGTCCATCCCCCACCCCCCTTCTCCTGGTAACCACTGAACCGTTCTCTTTGTCCACGTGTTTGTTTATATTCCACATAGGAGTGAAATCATCTGGTGTCTGTCTTTCTCAGTCTGGCTTATTTCACTTAGCATAATTCCCTGCAGGTCTATCCATGTTGTTGCAAATGGGATGATTTTCTCTTCTTTTATGGCTGAATAGTATTCCATTGTGTATATGTATGTATGTATGTGTGTATATATATATATATATATATATATATACCACATCTTTATCCAATCATTGGTCGATGGGCACTTGGATTGTTTCCACATCTTGGCTGTTGTGAATAGTGCTGCAATGAACATAGGGGTACATATCTTACTTTGGATTGTTGATTTCAAGTTGTTTGGGTAGATACCCAGTAGTGGGATAGCTGCGTCATGTGGTAGTTCTAGGTCATATGGTAGTTCTATTTTTAGTTTTTTGAGGGATCTCCATAGCGTTTTCCATAGTGGCCAGACCAGTTTGCATTCCCACCAGCAGTGTATGAGGGTTCCCTTTTCTCCACACCCTCTCCAACATTTGCTATTTTTAGTCTTAGTGATTATAGCCATTTTAACAGGTGTAAGGTGGTATCACAGTGTAGTTTTGATCTGCATTCACAGTGATTATATTTTTTACCTAGAAATCAGCACACAGAGACTTAACAAAATGTTCATAAGCCTTCCATCTTACAAGTTTTGTCTTGTTCCTTGTCAACTCCCCCTGATTCTAGCATGCATACTGCTGCCAGATTAACCTTTTGAGAGTCTTGGTGCATAAAGGGACACAGACCAGACACCTTATCTTGACCCTATAAACCTGGCCCCATCCTCTCGCTGTGCCATTTTAAAGAGCTTAGCCCAGCTCACTACTATTGTGAAGAGCTTCTCTCCTCCCCAGTAATAGCCACCACTTAGTTAAAAACACAGTCTCATTTAATTCTTGTAACAATCCCATAAGGTAAGTATTATTTTCTCACCTAAGAGATCATTCTCATTTTACAAAAAATTGAGGCTTAGAGTGAATAAGCCACTTATTCTAAGTCACAGAAATGTTCAGTGACAAAGCTGGGACTTGAAGCCAGGTTTGTCAAATTCCAAAATCTACACTTTCTGTCATTGTGCTCCACTGTCCCCCAACAGCATGAATCCTTGTCTTTGTAGGCCCAAAAAATGGGGTCCTGGGGTCCGTCCTCATGAGGCCTCTTCACAAGGCCTGCTGTTAGTGGCCTGGCATTGCTGTCTGGTTGGGTCCTGGGGGTCACACAGCCTTTCCCTCTGGGAGGAAAAGCCCTTCAGAAAGAAGCATGTTGAGAAATGGAGTGGTGTGTGTAGAATTTGAGAGTTATGGGGGAGCTGTAGAACTTTCACCGGATCCCCCAACTTCTAATGGGTCTGACCTCGGGTAAGAGAAAGCCCCTCTTCTGAGTTTTCATCCCACTCACATCGCTTCCCCAGGCCTCTTCTCATCTCTGTCCCCTCCTCTCTGACTCAGCATCCTCTGACTGAACCAGAGTAAGCCTAGACCTGGGACCAGTGAGCCACCGCCCTTCATTTCTTCCACAATTTCACCTTCCAGGCTGCCTGGGGGGCTGCCCCAGAAGCAGGGCCGGTATTTGCTGAAGTGGGAAGGAGGGACACAGACAGCAAGGTTCCTTCAGCCCCTACCTGGCAGAGCAGAAGGGGCATGTTTGTGTCCCAAACAGCTGACGCCTATTGACAATGACACAGAACCGCCCTCCACCTGAGTGAGTAGTTTCAATGTTAGGCATTGGTTTGGGGAGGCAGAATGCCATGGGAACCTGGGAGTCAGGAGTCTCCCAGAGCCCCACAATCACAGCACAGTGCTCACCATGCAGCAGGCCAATTCTAAACGCTTGACATGCATTAAGTCATTTAATCCACACAGCAACTCCATGAGTAGCTATTATTATCATCCATTTTACATGTAAGGAAATACAAACCATGACTTGCAATTTGCAAGCACTGATTACCATCTGTAAACCAGAGACACAAATACCTGCCCTACACCTACACAACTAGGAGTTTTGCAAGCCGTCACCTCCTATACATTGGAAGTAAATTAATATATCTTAATCTGGAACCGTTACGGTTTTTCCCCTTCCACCTTTTTGGATATAGGAAAGCTTCTTCCAAAGGGGCCTAGATAATGTGGGTGCAGAAAGTTCCTGGACAGATCCAAAAGAAAATGGTAACCACAGCGCTGTCTGCAGGCAGGGAAGTGAGTGGCTAGAGGACAGGGTGAGAAATTTACTTTTCGCTGTGTTTATAAACAAGATATTTAAAGTAAATTTAAAAAAATTTAAAAGGTCTGCGCAGTCACAGGTGAATGGGCGTGAGGCTTCTGCTTCCAAGACGGCGCCCAGTGGCCAGGCGGTGGGCCCAGGATCATCAGCAAGCCACAGCGAGCTCAGGGTCCTTTCCCGGACAGCACCAGGGTGGGCATTTGTAAATGCGGAAGGAGGGAGGGAGTCCGCTCCTTGCCGCTGCGCCCACCTGGACTCGCCCAAGACTGGGTGCGGCCCCGGGCGGCCGGGCGCACACTGACTCTGGAAGGTCCCGGGCTCCGCTGCGGGCGGGAGGCCCCGCCTGGGCCGCAGGAACCAAAGGCCAGCCCCAGCCCCGCCCTGTCCCGCCCCGCCAAATTTAAGAGCCCTCGCCGACAGCTGGGGCCGTTCCTGGCCAGCAAGTCTCGCTCCCTCTTGCAGGGTGTTCTCGCTCTCCTCTCCCCCGACGCACGCGGCCCCGGAGGCCCCCGGCTCCCCTCCCTGGGAGCGTCTGTCCGGGCCAGGGCCGCGCCATGCCCAGCCCCGTGCCGCGAGCCAGCCGGCCGCCCGCTGCCCGGGGCGCTCGGCTCCAGCCCGGGTCCCCCGCGCCCCAGAGCCACTCCGCGCGCCCAGGCACGCCCCGCGCTCCCGGGCGCCTCGAGTCCTCCTTCTCCGTCGAGGCCATCCTGGCCAGGCCCGGCCCCCGCGCGCCCGCCACCCCCCCTGCCTTGGGCCTCGGGACCATTCCCTCTCGGTCCCCGGCCCCGGTTGTGCCCTGGGCGTGCCCGGCGACGTGGCTGCCCGCCTACCTGAGCGTGGGGCTCTACCAGCCGTGCCCTCAGCCCCCTGTGCTGGGGTTGCGCGTGGCTCACTTCTGCGGCCTCCAGGGCCTCGGCGTCACAGGTACGAGGGGCCCTCGCGCCCGCGTCCGGGAAAGTAGGCAGGGCGGCTGCAGAGGGGAGGCCGCGACAGTCGGCACATGATAGCGGAGAAGTCCCTGAGTTTGAGAACCACCCGCAGCTGGAGTGGGAAGGGACCCTACGACCCTTGACCTTGCAGTTGAAACCGAGGCCCGAGAGAGAGACTAGCTGAGACCAGACCGCAGCGCGAGGCTTACGCTGAGGTGGGAGAAGGTGTGTGTGGGGAAGGGTAGGCCAGAGGGGCTCGGAAGACTGCCAAGGCCAGGGCTACGGCTGCGAGGAGCCCCCGTCCTGCTCCCTGGCTCCGCGTCCCTTGACGAGGGATTTATGGAGGCCCTTGCTTTCTCCCATAGCCCCTTTGGATAACGCCTGTTGGCACAAGCTTTTCCCCAAAGCGGCTCTCGTTGCGAACCCACGGCCCTTTTTCAGCTGGGAGAAGCGGATGCTACAGGTGGTGCTGTTAGGTGCTGGCAAGTGCCCAGACACCATACCGCCTCGACTGCGCAGGTCTGAGTGACTTGCGCTCCTCACTTGACTCCTCCGAGCCCGCTTGCTTATTGCGCTCTTAGAATGGTACCTTAGTGCCCCGGCGCGCAGGCACTTAAATCCCAGCGAGAAATTAACTGTTGAGGTCCCCTTCTCCTCTGGCGTTAACACCCACCTACATGAGCTTTTGCCGTTTTTGGTTATCTGGTTCATGCTTCCCCATGTGCCCATGAAGCAAACTGGAGCAAGGTTAGTGCAAACCTTATGAACCCCTACCAAAATCCTGTAACACTATCTTACTTGGCTCCCACTCCCTGGGCTTCCCCCTCCTGTATTTCCTCAATTCCCTTCAGCTGGGCATTCCTCCCACCTGTGTTGGAAACACTGGGCTCTCAACCACGTGCCACTGCATCTGGGAGCCACGCCCATCACTCCAAGCCACCTTTTTCTAACCTCCCCACACACCTGAGGTCTTAATTGCAGTTTACTACTTTATATTACAGATGTCTCATTTTCAAGTTAGTTTTTTCATAGGAGTTACATCCACACAATTCAAGCATCAGAATGTTTACTAAGATATATGGAGAAGAGTGTCCTCTCCCTTTCTGTCCCCCAGTCACCTAGTTACCCCCCCACCCCCACCCCACAAGTAGCCAATGACACCAGCTTTATTCTTCCACAGGTATTTTGTGTATATTTACTACCTCAATACACACACATATTTATATGTGTATATTCATTCTCTACCCTCCCTCCCATACTGACACACTGCTCTGCACTTTACTCTTTTCAGTTGATCATATATCTTGGAGATTTTCCCACATCAATCCATACAGAGCTTCTTTACACTGAAGAGTGGTCCATTCCAAGGATGTCCCATAATTTATTTAATCAGGCCCTGCTGATTGTTTCTCATCTTCTGCTATTATGCTTATGTTTGTGGTAAGCCTAGTGGGCTCAGCAGTTGGGGTCCTGGCCTCACTTCTTTCGCTGGAGTAGTTTGTCTGCCAGCCCTGGAGCCTCCCCAAGGGTAGTGGGAGCTGAGGGGCCTTAGCACCGCACTTGCAGGTCCTGTGTCAGAACACTCCCATCCAAGATAGCCCAACGGCTCACTTCCTCATTCCTTCCGAGTTGCCACTTAGGTTCCTTGCCCTGATGGATGAATCTCCATCTCAGCTGGCCCACAGCTTGGTGAGCTGAATAGCACCTTTGTGTGCATTAGGAAGGGCACCCTAATATGTCCAGACAGACACAGCACTTTGGCAGAGGGCAAGAACTGGCCTGTGGAGAGAGGGCAGAATTTCAGACTCCACTTAGCCTCTCAGCTGGGTACCCATGTGCAGGCCACAAGCTGTACATAGTGGCCCTGTTCAAATGTCACCTCAGTGAGATGACTCCCCTTTCTAAAGATGCCAACTATCCCTGCCCCACCCACACACACTCACCCTGTCCTTCCCTGCTTTATTATTCTCACTAGTGCTCATCATTTTGATATACTCAATACTTTACTTATTTACCATTTTTACTGTTATACAGGGGTTTTCTGCTTTGTCCTGGAACCATGCCTGACACATAGTAAAATTCAAAAAATATTTGTTGAACAAATGAAAAGGATGAACCCTTGGGGGTCCCTGCTCTGCCCATCCCATGGGGTGTCCTGAAGTAGCCAAGGAAAGGAGCGGAGGAGAGATGGAGGCCTGGCAACTCCTCTTAGGGCCAGAGGTTAAGCCAGGCAGCTAGAGAAGGTGGAGGCAGAGGTAGTCTCACAGCACTGTCCCTTCTTTTTTTTTTTTTTTTTTTTGAGGAAGATCGGCCCTGAGCTAACATCTGCAGCCAATCCTCCTTTTTTTGCTGAGGAAGATTGGCCCTGAGCTAATATCTGTGCCCCTCTTCCTCTATTTTATATATGGGATGCCTGCCACAGCGTGGCTTGATAAGCAGTGCATAGGTCTGCACCCAGATCCGAACCAGCGAACCCCTGGCCACCAAAGCAGAGTGTGTGAACTTAACTGCTGTGCCACTGGGCCAGTCCTGTCCCTTCTTTCCCATTGTTTGTTTTCTGTTATTTCTGTGCAGTCTCTGCCCACCCTGCCTCTTGCTGTGTTACCTGGCCAAGGGCAAGGCAAGGCATAGAGCTGTGAGCTTGTTCTCTCTCCTCCAAGATAGGGGGCTGGGGCGGTGGGATGGAGGATGCTGGCTAACCTCTCCTCCTGCTGGTTGCTCTCTAGGCTCGGAGCTGGCTCACTGCCCAGGCCTCTGGGGTCCCCCAGACTGGGCACCGGTGGAGGCCCTTCAGGCCACTGAGAGACCCCAAAAGAGAGTTCGAACTATGTTTAATTTGGAGCAGCTGGAAGAGTTGGAGAAAGTGTTTGCAAAACAGCACAATCTGGTGGGGAAGAAGAGAGCCCAGCTGGCTGCCCAGCTCAACCTGACGGAGAACCAGGTGGGAGCAGGACTCCTGTGGGGCCAGGGCTGCACGTGGGAGCAGACACGACTCTCCAAGAGGTGCTAGGTGGCGGGTGATGGGAGGACATGGGCCTTCTTCCTCTGTGCCAGGCCACTGGGGGAGACAGGACCTGACCATTGGCACACTCCCTATTTGATGAGAAAAATGGCCCCAATTGAAATCACATTATGGGAACAACATGTGATGTTAATGCAGAACTTTATAATACAATATTTTCATGCTAAATAGGGCGCTGAATAAGTAGGTATTCAAGGGACTAAATATTAAAAATAATAATAAACATTCCTTGAGCCTATATTCCTCTCCAGCTACTGTATCATTTCCCTGCTGTTTTCACAGGCAAACTTCTCAAGAACTGGCTATGTTCTCTCCATGTCCTTACCTCCCCTCTACTCCTAACTCATTCCAATATGAATTCTTTCCCTACCATTCCATTGAAACTTCTCATCAAGGTCTCTAATGGCCTCCATTAGCCAAAGTCAACAGAAGTTTTCCTTCCCTCATCTCACTCCACCCATTAGCCTCTCTCAGTACTGTCAACTGCTCCTTCTCTTATCTCCCATCTCTTCTCTTGGCTTCCAGACACCACACTCTCTTGGTTTTCCTCCCAGCTCTCTGGCTACTTCTTCTCTGTCCTCCTTGTAGGGGGGACTTTTCTCTTTGCAACCTCAAATTTTTCTCCCCAGCTGATCTCATCTATTCCCCTGGTTTTAAATACCATCTATAAGCCAATTTCTCCAAAATTTGTATCTTGAGCCCACTTCTCTTTTCTGACTTGTACATCTAACTACCTCTTTGAGGTCCCTACTTGGATGTCTTATGGGTAGTTATTTCAAACTTAACAAATCTAAGCCTCAATTCTTGATTTTTTTTTCTCCCCACATCTGTTCCTTTCCCTACACATGGCCCCACCATCCACCCAATTGTTCAAAATACCTAGTCATCCTAGACTCCTCCTCCTTTTCCATTTCCATTCCATCAGCAAGCCTTGTCACCTCTACCTCCAAAATGCAGCTGGAATTGCGTCATTTCTCTGCATTGTCCCAGTTCATACCAGCCCCAGCTCTCACTGGATCACTGCAATGGCCTCCCAGCTGTCTCCCTGCATCTATGTTCATCCATTCTTCACACAGCAGCTAGATGTGCAATTCACTTGAGATATAAATAGGATTATGTCACATACCACCCAAAAGCCTTGAAGCCGACACTCCTAACTCATGGCCTTCACATCCTGGGTGATCTGGCCCCATTGACCTCTCCCACTTTCCCTTTCTTCGCTTTCTCCTCTCACTCTCAGATGTTCCAGCCGTGTTCTCCTCCTTGCTGGTCCTCAAACACTCCAAGCTTGGTTCCACCTCAGAGCCTTCCTACAGGTCATCCCCTGCCCCAGCCTACTTTTCTGTCCCCACCAGGCTGGCTTCTCATCCCCTGAGCCTCAACTTAAGTGCTGGTCCCTCAGGGAGGCTCAGACCTGTTTGTACCCCCATTTGTGTTTATATATTTCTTTGTTTCCATGTTTGTTATTATTCATCTCTCTCCACTAGACTGTGAGCTCCATGAGGGCTGGGACCATGCCTCTATTGTTCACCATTGTATCACCATCACCCAGGATGGTGCCTAGTACATAACAGGAGCTCAATAAATACTTGTTGATGAATGAATGGCAACTGGAATTACAGGGAAGGGTGTTTTGGAGGGGATGCCTCCCTTAGAAGAAAGAGTAAATTTTGGCCAGAGAGGAGAGGGCAGTGTGGGAATGGGGGAGCAGTGGGAATTGCTGGTCACACTCTGATCTCTGCCCACTCCCTATAATTGTAGGTGAGGGTCTGGTTCCAAAACCGCAGGGTCAAGTATCAGAAGCAGCAAAGGCTGAAACTGCCCGCCACGTCTGCCATTGCTGCATCCCTGGATGAGCCCTCCAGCAGCTCCGACACCAGCATCCAAAGAGAAGATACCGAGTCAGAAGTGGACAGCTGAGGACCAGGACAGAGGCTCAGTGCAGGCTGTCTGAGCTAGTTCTTCCTGGGGACACCCACTGGACCTGCCTGCCCCACTTCTTAATGAAGAGCCTCGACAGGGTCAAAGGGCACCAGGGGAATCTGAACTGTCAAGCAGGGGCCCCCTTTTCTATATTGACCCCTGGGAGCTGGAATAATGAAAATGGTCAGGGGCACAGACTTTAGCCTTCAGCTATGTCCTTGGCCAAGTTATTGAACTTCTGAGCCTTTTTCTTCATCTGTATAATGGGTGTGTTGATAACTTAGAGCTCCCAGGGCTGAGATGACGTCTATAAAGCACTTATAGTGTGCCAGGCCCAGTGCTGTGCTAACTGTTAAGGCTTATAGGCCCCCTTCACCTGGGGGAGTGGTGCCCACACCAGCCCTGGACTCTCTAGGGATTAGTCGTCTCCTGGCCTGGCTGTGGAGGAGAAGGAGCCTCCCTGAGTCAGGGCACAGAAGACTTCCCTACCAGAGGTGGTGGAGTTGAGAGCAGAGGAGGAAAAGGTAGACCGTTTAGCCCACTTCCCCTTACAGAGTTCCCCCAAATTTTCTCGTTTTGTCTGAACTGTTACCACTCTCAAAAGGAGCTCCGGCCCAGCTGCCTTCTTGGAATAGACATGCTACCCTGACCACCATTTTTTTCCCTCCGGTTACCTGCCTTGACCCCTTCTCCATCTTTATATAGAATAGAGACACTGGACTCTGCCTTTGCCAAGATAGGCATTTTGTCATAAATTCTGCTTTATTTTCATGGGGTGGTTATTATTTCCTCCCCTTCACAATCCTGACTTATGGCTCCCTTTCCTTCCCAGGAATCTGCTCATTTCTAAGAAGCCTAGCTGATAGCCTACACCTGTGGGGCCTTCCATTAACATTTCCAGAGCTGATTTCTCTAGTGCTCCACCTTCTTGGGTGGGTCTCTGTTGAGGGTATTGATTTAGAATCTAGAATGGCTTCTGAGTGCTGAGGTGAGCTGGTGGAAGGAGGTCTGCCCTGTCATCTGGTGGTCAGAGAGACCACGGTCTCCAGTTGCTCTAGAATTTTCTGAGGGAGAGAGAGAGGAAAGTTGGGGAGCAGAGACAGCCTTGCAAAACTACCTGCCCCCAAGGCAGTGGACCATGCTGTCTGGGATACCAGGCTGCAGCTGGAGGGATGCCAGGGTCCGGCTTCAAGAATTCTACCCTGTCCCTGTCTTCAGGGACATCCTTCCTAATGCTGGACCCAAAGTCAACTCTGTTAATCAAAGGAACTCAGCCACACTTGCCTCTTCTAGGAACAACTGGCTCGCCTCTTTTTTTTTTTTTTTTTTCAAATCAGCAGTTACCTATTCAGCAGTTACTGGGTTTTACCCAAGCCCAAACGTCACTATGAGACCAAAGCAAATGCAGACATAGGTTCCTTTACCAGGAGCACAGAGTCAATTGCAGGACAAGGAAACAAGATAAGGTACAGCGGTCAGGCTTGGCTGTGGTGACAGATGCTTTAGGTCAGTGGTTTGCAGCTTTTGGGGTCCTAAATGAGAGAACAGGTCCCACTCCTGTTGTCAGGACAATGTGCCTATCACACTTCTGCATACAATTTCAGGGGTCCTCAGACCTGAGGTCAACTATGGACCCTCCTCCATTCCCCACTCCCACCCCCAGCTAGGGACCCCAGGCTGCAAAGTCCCTAAGCCCCTGAAGAGTCTGAGGGAGACTCAGGTCCCACTTAATCTTTCACAGGACTGTCTGCCCCGCTGCCAGAGGCCCACAGAGAAGGGAAATCTCGCATCAGACTTTCTTTGCGGGACGGATGGGTGGAGTAAGCTAGTCCGGGCTAAGGGTCAGGGGATAGGAGTAAATCAGCCCGCTGCTCTCCCACGCCTCAGCTGGGTCCAGGGATGGGTCCAAAGACCTCTTGACTCAAGACTGGCCACTGGGTGGACAGAGACAACAGACATCCATACAAAGATGAAGTCGGACACAGACACATCAAAACAACACACACACACTCTCTCTCTGATATAGAGGTACACTCTGGCCCCGAAGACAAAACCGTACCGATGTAAAAGCACAAAAGCCCAGCTACACCCAGTCAACGAACTAAGCGATCTAAACACGTAGATAAAAGAGACCAGAATTTGGACTCGCTAACGCACGAACCCTGGCAGCCTCGCAGACGGTCACGCCCGGGCCGTGGGGGGAGGGGGGCGGGGCCTCCCGGGTCGAGGCAGGGTCAAGGGTCAGAAGGCGGAGGCGCGCCCAAGATGGCGGCCTCCATGTGCGACGTGTTCTCCTTCTGCGTGGGCGTGGCGGGCCGGGCCAGGGTCGCCGTGGAAGTCCGATTTGTGAGCAGCGCCAAGGTGAGGCCGGGACGGACCCCGTCGGCAGCCCCCACCCTGTCCTGCCTTGGAGACAGCCCCGCGGGGCCCCATGCCCGGAGCCTAGAGGCTTCTCTGGAGCTCAGACGCGGCGCCCTGGCCCCTGCTCGCGGTCGGGGGCTCCCTGTCTGTCCCCGCGCGCAGGCTTCCGGGGCAGTCACGCGGGAACCAGGGCCTCCCGGGCCTCCGCGCGCGCCCCCTCCCCGCGGAACCGGGCCGGCTTGCCAGCGGCCCTGCTGTGGCTGCTCCAGGCTGGTTGGGGGGCGCCGGGCCAACGGGCCGGGCCGGGCCGGGGGACATTGCTGCTGGGCCCCGGGGGCAGTGGGCGGGGACGGGCTGAGCCGAGGGAACCGAGTGTAAAAAAGCGTGCGTCTTCAGGGAACTTTCTGAATGAGATTTGGGGTTAGAGAGTGGGTAGAGAGGCCAGAACCCTTCACGAAATGCCTTGGAGTGCTAAGGCATTTTTACTGGAGCCCGAAGCCTGTGGGAGCATTGGAAGGGTTTAAACAGGACATGAATTTTGTCGTTTTATTATCGTGTTTTGGAAGTTCATTGTAGAAAAAGATAGAAAATGTATGTAAAAAAAAGAGAAGGTAAAAATCGCTCATAATCCTATACGTGTGCAAATATGTATATTAAAATTACATTTTTAGAAAATGCTTTTTGATGCAGCAGTAAATCTTTCAATATCAATAAACATATTTCTACGTATTAATTTTTAACAGCTGAGTAATAGTCTATTTCGTGGGCGGGCCACAGTTCACTCAAGTACGTATTACCAAGTACCACCCCTTATGTTGGATCTTGTTTTTTTGACCCTGAGGTCAAAGGTCTTGGAGCTTAATTTCTGTGCACACACAACCTTTTTTTCTGTCCAGCACTGAGTATTTTCTTTTCTGGTTATCTTTGCCAATTGATATGTGCAGCATGGAATCGCTTTGTTCTCATTTACATTTCTTTGTTTACTAGTGAGCTTGAATTTATCATGAGTAGTGGCCGTGTGTGTCCTTGTCCAAGACGTCTGCCTTCTACTCCTCTGTCTTCTGCTCTCAGCATCTTCATACTGATCCAGTTCCCCAACCCAACCTTCCATTGTTCTCTTTCCACTCCAGAAGCATCTGGAGCGTTCCTCTCCATCCGTGGTAAATCAGCTTCCCGGCATCCTTGGTCTCCTCAGCTGCTCACATCTCCATCTTCACCCCAGGGCCTCTAGGGCTCTTGGCTGGCTTACAGTTTGATGGTGTCTCCGTTCCGCCACTCCTAGCAGGCAGAGATAGTCACCTTCACTTAACCCTACCCCTCAGGCCCCTCCTTTCTGGATTTCTTCCCTCGCTTCATCACTTCCGCCTTTCTCCTTGCCCAGTTGTCCTCTCGCAGTCTTCTATCAAAATCCCAGCTCTGGAAGAATGAGCTGCCCACCCCACCGTCTCCGTGTCCACACCTGATGTGCTGCTGGAGAAAATCACATAGCTACCCAGACTTGGTGACAAGATGCATTATTCTGGGTTTTTTGCGTCTATATTCATCAAGGGAGATTGGTTTGTGTTTTTTTCTCTGTGCTGTCTTCCTCAGGTTGCCACATCAGAGTAATGCTTGTTTTTTGGTAAAATGGAGAAGCTTTCCATTTTTTCCCGTTATTGAATAGTTTAGAGAGCATGAGAATTACTTGTGCTTTGGTTTAAAGAGAGCTGGCTTGTGAAACCAGATAGACTAGGGGCCTCAGTGGGGGGTAGTTTTTGACCACTTTCTCTGTCACTTCTATGGATATTGGTAGGAATGATTTTCAAAAATTTACCAACTACTGTGCCGAGGACACAACCAGTCACAACAGAAACCTGACTAAATACAGTGGATGCCAGCCGAATGCCACACTGGTGCATATCACCACTGCTTATTAGTCCGTCTCAGCTTTCTTCCTTTTGAATTCAGTTGTGGTAATGTATATTTTCTAGAAAATCATCCATTTCATAAATATTTTAAAATTTACCACATAGTTTTAGAGTTTTGCACAATCTTTTTATTAAAGCTTATTTTTCAAGTTGGAACTATCTTTGCATAGTTTGTGCCCTTTTCATTCAGGTTCCGTTTTCTTGAAGCTTCTTGGTAATATGAATAAGAGCTGTTTTTCTTGAAACACTTTCATATGTTTTAGAGGTGAGTGGTTTCGTGGAAGAATATCTCTGATTCTTTTCCCTTTGTTTTGATTACTAAATCTTTTCTACATTTGGTCCTCCAGAAAGAGATTAATATTTATCTAACATTAAGATTTGAGATTGGGAGAGATGATGTGGGTCTCTGTCATATCTTTTTATTCCATAGAGGAAGACCAGGTTTTCATTTTGCTAGTTGGGGTCCCAGGGGCTACAAGGCATGGAGGTGGGGCTTCTAGGAAGACAACCAAGGGTGCGTGCATGGTTGTGCTCAGTGGTTTTGTTCCAGCTGTCCCACGCTGCTGTTAGAACTCCCAGAGTTGTTCAGAGGGGTGAGATTTGTGGCTCCTGGGTTGCTCAGGGCCTATCTTGGTCTACACATCCTCTCCCTCTGACTTTGGGAGACGCCCCTGTCTAGCCAGAGCACCAATGCTAGAAGGAAACAGGGAGCTACCCGGGAGGCCACGTGACAGGACATTTCACTGGTGTGTCAGTCATTTTTTTCCTCTCCTTTGTGACTGTTCAGTGTTGGCAGGGGCACTCCCCTATTCTCTAAGTGAACAGTGGGAGTAGGTGCCCAGCAGGGTCAGTAACTGCCTGGGTCTAGAAGCACATTTGAGAAATGGCAGTGCAGCAATTGTTTTCTCATCCTTCATCCCTTGCGTGATGTATACAGTGCTTTAGACCAGTGCTTCTCAGACTTTAACATGCCTGTGACTGACGTGGGCATCTTGTTGAACTATAGACTCTGATTCAGCAGGTCTGAGGTCAGGCCTGAGGTTCTGCATTTCTAACGGTCTCCCAAGTGATGCCTGTGCTGCCAGTCCATCACCTCACTTTGCGTAGTAAGCAGCTAGAGCTCATGAGGTGCATTCACCTGTGCTATATCATTGCATCCTGGAAACTGCCTGGTAGGTATTATCATCATACTCACTTTTCATGTGGGAAACAGATGCAAAGAAGTGAAGCAGCTGGCTCAAAGGTTCACGGCAAGTTAGCATTAGGACTGGTGCTAGGCTTAGTTATTCCTTTCAGCGTAACACCTGAGAACTTGTCGGGTGCGAGGCACTGTGCTAGGTGCTGCAGATACCCAGCCGACCAGGGAAGTAGGGCACGTTCTCCTTCAAACTAGGCCTCCCTCTCCCGTGGTGTAGGATTTCTCTGCAACCCTGAACAGCAGTTTCACTGCCAGGATCCTGGAGGGGCAAGGGGTACCTCAGGGAGGGCTGCCCTGCCATTTATCAGGCCCTGCTATTACCAGCTCCTGGTACAGGAGGCCCCAGCCTGCTATGAGCCTTGGCCCTGCTCCGGCCATTCTAAAAATTCTCCTGCTCTTAGTACTCTGAGATGGCTGACGTGGTGTCTCGCTCCCCGTCCCAGGCCCCCTGCTCTGAATAGGCTTAAAGAAGTGTGACTGAAAGTAGGTCAGAGCTACATTTCCAGAGGAGGCCGTTATGGAGGGTGCTGACCATGCTCCACGAGCCCTTCCAAGGCAGAGGCCTCTGCTGAGAGGGAGGCACGTGAGGGTGAGGCTGGGCGGCCCTCCAGGAGCTATGTCCTTTGTCTCTTTTTATGGACATCCTATTCCTTCTGTGCCCTCTTAGGGAAAGGGGCTGTTTGCTACCCAGCTGATCCAGAAGGGGGAGACCATCTTCGTAGAACGGCCCCTGGTGGCTGCACAGTTTCTGTGGAATGCACTTTATCGCTACCGAGGTGAGCACATCTCATGGCTGCTGGGCCAGCTGCTTTTGCACATGGAAGAGAGCTGCATTCATCCCTACTGGCTGATGTCTCTGGACTCTGGGTGTTGGGAGGAAAGGCTGTCTCCCCTGGAGAACCACGCCTCTGTCTAACCTCAGGCTGTTTGGGGCTGTGAGTCTGCCGTAGAGAGGCTCTTCTGAAGTGCTCCCTGTGGGAGGACTGTCATGCAGGTGGAACTCAGTCTGACCCACAGTATAAGGGACTGGACATCATGCTAAAGGGCTCTGGGGCAGAATGCAGCCCTCTACCAAGAGAAGGCCATGTGCCCTTGGGTCAAAATGCTGAGTTAGGGCTTAGAAGCAAGTAGGATGCCCTTAGCTTTGCCAGCCACGTGCTTTTCTCACACTTTTCTTGGGCTAGAGACAAACTGTGAAAGGAGGGTCAGTTGGTGCCAGAATGTGGGGAAAGCCAAGTCTAGGGGAGGGGAGGGGAGCCTCACAGACTAAGTCCCATTGAGAAGCAGGGACAGTCTGACAGGAGGGATGGGGACTCCAGCGGGGTAAGAGGGAGTCATCTCCCTTTGAATGCATGTGAAATTCATGAATTCGTTCCATTCTTTAACATAGTCATTCATTCACAGACTTCCAAAATGTTTATTGAGCACTCACTATGTGCCAGGCACTATTCCCCTGCTGTAAAAGGATAAACGTGGCCGTCTCTCAAGCCACGTTGTCATGTCTCCCTCAGCCTGTGACCACTGCCTTCGGGCACTGGAGAAGGCAGAGGAGAATGCTCAGAGGCTGACCGGGAAGCCAGGCCAGGTTCTGCCTCACCCCGAGCTGTGCACTGTGCGCAAGGACCTCCACCAGAGCTGTCCCCACTGCCAGGTGAGCGTCCCAGGGGAGTGGACCTGAAAGGAGGCCAGTAAGGGAGGCCTTAGCTGAA